TTAGCTGATGTTCCATCAGCTAAATTAAAAGAACAATATGGATCAGGCTATAAATTGGTTATTAATAAACACAGTAGTTGTCGTACAAATGATATTAAAGCTGAATTACGTAATTATTTACCAGAATTAAAAGTTGAAACAGATATATTTGGTGGTGATGTTGTTTTTCGTACAAATCAACAACCAAATGATCAATTTGTTCAAGCATTACATCATCTTGAATCAATGAAAAGAAATCATCGAATTAATAATTATGGAGTACAAAATAGTACTATGGATGATGTATTCTTAAAAATTACAAGAGATACAGAAGTTAAAAATGGTTCAGGATCAACATCCCTTTATACTAATACGATCGGTAAGTTAACGATTTTATTATAAAACTCACCTGAGTGTGGACGGTAGGTGTGTGGATAGGTGGGTATGGGAGGGCGTGGAGTGTAGATTAGGAGAAAGAGAAGGCTCACACCCACACCCATGCTCTCAATGTTTGTTTTCTTAATCATTGAGTTTAGTTTTCTATGCTGAAATTTATTTTATTTGTTGCAGAAAAACAATGTCGTCATGTATTTCATCGTCAACGTTTTCTTTCCGGTCCTCATTATTATTTAAGTCAATTGCATGGATTATTAGTAAAAACTGTGCTTGTTCGTTACCGTCGTTGGGGATTAACACTTATTATTTTATTATTACCAATTTTATATAATCTTTTATCAAATTTAACATCTCAAAGTCAAAATGATACAGGAATTTTTAAAATGAATTTCAATTCTCTTAATCCACAAACAATTTTATATCATACAGATCCAAGTATGAATAAATCGTTTCTTGCATCTATTAATGGTGCAAACCATGAAAAAGGGCCAGAAAATATATATGAAATGAATGAAAATATTTGGCGTAAGTTTTAATATCACTTAAATAATAGTTATTTATTATTTTATTATTATACTAGAAAAACGAATGGATCGTCTATATACATATACAGATATTTATCTTGGTTTTAATATTCCTGCACCAAGTAGAGATAAATATAAAATTGAAGCATTATCATCAAATTTAATATCAGGTTATGAAGTTATATCTATTGCATCAAATACATTCTATAAACATGCATTAAATGATTCAAATGCATCGATTCAAACAACACTTGTCTATAAAAATACAAGAAATTCTACTGAAAAACTATGGAATGCTAATCAATTTAATTTATTAAATATGCCATTATGTTTTGAAAAAGTATTACCATCATTACTATTACCTGATTTGTATGTAAATTAGAAAAAAATATTATTTCTGAAAAAATTGTAATTTGATTTTATTTAGATTTGTATTCCATATTTTATTCTTTTACATAACTAAGTTTTCAATCAGTGAACGAAAGGATGGCTTTTTATCACTATTGAATATTAGTGGTTTACAGTAAGTATTGAAATATAATTTAATTATCTGACAAAGTCGATAGTAATTTTTACTTTTTAGTCCAGCATCATATTGGTTATTTACTTATCTATTTGATATGATAATATCTACTATATGGTTATGTTATCTACTTGCAATTTATTGTATATTTTATGTTGCTTTTGAGGATCTGCTAAAAAAGAAATCTTCATCACAAAATGTAGATAAATTTCTTAGTTCATGGGATTTACGTATACAATTTTATCCATTATCAATTTTGATAGCATTACCAACATTACCATTTGCTTATTTATTAACAAAACTTTTCAAAAATGATATTCTGGTATGTACTTTTTTCATATGTAACATTTCTAATATACGATCAACACATTACAATTATAATTCACTGGAGAATACTCATTCACCAGAGATGTTCATAATGGCAATCTAATTCTTTTTAGTCTCGCGATAGCAGCGTGGCGTCAGTTTTCTGAATTTCTGACCGCAATGGATGTGTCTGTCATTCACTTTTTCTGAGAAGTTAACTTGATAGTCATGAGATATAACTGCAATAGTATATCCTTCTTTCTATCTGTCGTAAAATGAAGTAGCTTTGTAGTTTTATACCCACTAGTTATATTTTGATTTATTTTTTCTCACACCTGTTATCATTATTCCTCGACTGATTTGATCTATATTTTAGGGTGGCATAACCATATGTTTTATCTTAATAATTCTTCATTTGATAAGTATTAGTTCTCCAGTTGTAACAAGAAGGATTAGAAGTACATCTGTTCAAAAACTTTTATATTGGCTATTTAATATCATATGTCCAACTATGAATTCAGAAGCTATAATAACTTATATCTTAGCACGTAAAAGTCAATTTTGTAAAGTAGTGATTGCACAGTTTACAGACGACGATCGTGTTACATCACTTTTTAAACCTATTCGTGATGATAAAATTGGTTGGAATATAATCATTCTTGTTTTACATATAGTTGTATTGTTATTCTTATTAATTATTATTGATAGTGGTTTATTACAATTTTCATTTTCATGTTTCTATAAATCAAATTTTAATGAAAATACTCTTGATGATGATGTTTTAACTGAACGTCATCGAGTTTTAGGAATACAAACACATACATTCGAAGATGAAGAAAATGTTGATCATTTAACAGTTAAAAATCTTGTTAAATATTATTCAAGAAGAAAACTTTTAGCTGTTGATCATTTAACATTTAGTGCAAGACGTGGAGAAGCATTTGGTTTACTTGGTTATAATGTAAATAAGCAATAATAATAATATTTTTATTTTTATTTTTTCTAATTTTATTTTAAAATAGGGTGCTGGTAAAACAACAACATTTCGTACTGTCGTTGGTGATATAATATCAACATACGGCACAACTTATATAGATGGACAGAGTGTTCGTCGTCGTATAAGATCTACACGTCATTTAGGTTATTGTCCACAACAAGATTGTAGTATGGATTATCTAACTGTCCGAGATAGTCTTTATCTATTAGCACGTATACGTGGTGTTAAAACATCACGTTTAAAATCAATTGTTGAAACAATGAGTTCATTATTCTTACTTGATCCTTTTCTAAATAATTATATTCATCAATTAAGTGGTGGAACAAAACGTCGATTACATACTGCTATAGCATTAATTGGTATTAGATTTATTTAAATAAAATTTCTTTATTTTCTTTTTCTTTTGTAGGACCACCATCAGTAGCTATACTTGATGAACCAACAACTGGTGTTGATCCAAATGCACGAGAACAAATGCAAGAAATATTTTTAAATGCTGTTAAAGCTAAATTAACTATTATTTTAACAAGTCATTCAATGGATGAATGGTAAACAATATTTTATGAATTATAACTCATATGTTTTTCTTCATACATTTCTAGCGAACGTGTCTGTAATCGTCTTGGTATAATGGTTCGTGGTCAATTAGCTTGTCTAGGTACAATTCAACATTTAAAATCGAAATTTGGTCGAGGTTATACAATTGAAATTAAAGTTCGTACAACTCCTGAAGATACAAATACGTTAATAATACAAAATGTTCAAAGATTTTTATTATCACAACGACAATATCAAATTGAAGTTAAAGAAACAACACATTCAACAGGTTTGTTTCAATGTGGACAAGGTACACCGGCTGAATTATTTCAATTAATCGAAGAAAATAAACAACAATTATATATTGAAACATATACAATATCACAAACAACACTTGAACACGTATTTTTATCATTTGGAAAACAAATTCAAACTAGCACGAATGAATAAATTGAATCATTATTTAAAGACAAAAAACATTCTATTTTCAAATACTTTGTATATAATTCTTTAAATCTATTTAAATAAAATTAATTCATAATCAATACATTTTTGTGGAAGAATATCTAATTGATTATAAAATTTTTGCAATGAATAATTATCTGAAGCTATTTGCTGGATAATGGAATGAATATTATTATACTGACGAGCTTGTTCCTCACATGCTTGCGAGTGTGGGTGTGGATGTAAGTGGGAGTGAGAGTGTGGATGGGTGAGTATGGGCGTAAGTGGGGGTTAGGGTTAAAAGAAGATAGATATACTCACACGCACTCAAACCCACACCCACACCCTCAAGATTCTTTAGGGTAGATGTCATAGAAATACGAAACTCACACTCTTATGATTTGAAATATATTGCCACACTTTTTCACAATCTATCATGAGATTAACGACATTTGAATTCAAAGTTACAACCAATTTTATCATAATATAACTTATCAGAACAGAAAAACAAACTTAATCATCTATAGAAAACTTTTTACAGAATTTACTTCTATAAAGGAACAATGTAGAAGTTAGACATATGATAAAATGCTGTATACCAAATGTCATAATTTAGAAGATACAAGGTACATTTCATCAAGGTTCTACCATGAAACATAAAGAATAATCGAAAAATATTATTTCCATTATATATTAACTTATTTCTTCTCCTTTTTGTTCTTTATTCCTCTTCTTTTATAAAACCAGAATCATCACTCTCTTCACAATATTCACTCCTTAAATACTTAACTATATCCGTAGTACGTGATAAAATGAAAGAAAATCAGCATTCTTTATGGTAACAGATATATCATGCCATAACAAATCTATAGTATTATGTGTCTTATAATTTTCTTTTCGTCATATTTGTTCTATCTGTACATAAATACTAATATCTTATCTCATTCTCTCTGTTTTCATATATGTACATGATTATCTTATGTTTATTTCTTTCTTCCTATATTAGTATAATACTATCTTCCGTTTGCTTGTCATTCCTTTTGTCCCATATAGACAATTATACTCTTAATGTTTTTCTTCTGTATCTATAATCTAATCTTTACCCTTGTACAAATCTGTTTTTACTCCTGCTTTGTATCTATTTTTCTCGAATGGAATAGTTTATAAGAGATAGAAAAAATATTTTAATACCAAGACATACATTTTCTATAACGTTACCAAATCTTCCTAGATAAATTCATTTCGAAAGATTATTTTTATCTTGCTTTATTAATTGTATTAAATTACAGAATCCATAGAAATCGATCTAGTATAGTCAAAAAATAAATTTGGGTAGTTGTTATGCAAATAACAAAATACTTCTTATATTTAGATAAGAGTTTAAATTACTTCATTAATTATCGTTTAATATTTAAAGAAAACTTGTTGTTTTATTTAGTAAGAAAGTAAAATACTTAAAATTTGTTTTATCATCATTATACTTAGAAAGGTAACTGAGACAACAACAAAAAGAAAAGAGCATATGTCATCACCATAAATGCTATGTACTCAAAGGGGTCTTCTGATGTGCGTATTTCACTGTACTCAAAGAAAATGTTGAGTTAGATAAAGTTTTGCTTTTTTTCTTCCTTCTATATACTTGATGATTTATTATAAGAAATCTTTTTTTGTCTAATATTTACTTAGGATGAAAGAAGAGAGAAGGTATATAAAACTGTATTCTACATTTATATCATGATAAGAATTTTATGTTTTTTTTTTCTTTTTGCAAGATATTTTCAATCGTCAAACTTGTGATTAAATAAGATGTATATGATAGTGGGTAAAAATGCTAATAAAGCTTATCCCAAACTACTTATTGTTTGCGAAATATTTGGTTTATTAAGCGTTATTTTATCTGGTTTATTCTTTGATAAAAAACTCTATGCATCAAAATATGTTTATAATTGGAATACAAATCCATTTAGTTATCATCCATTAATGATGACTCTTGGTTTATTATTTTGTTATGGAAATGCAATACTATTATATCGAACATTAAAATCAACACCTAAATTAATAGCTAAAATTCTTCATGCTTCTTTACTTATAGTATCATTAGTACTTGCTATTGTTGGATTTGTTGCAATAGTTCGATCTAAAAATCTTGGTAAACGACCACATTTTATGTCATTTCATTCATGGCTTGGTTTAACAACACTAATTTTATTTGCTTTACAATGGATTTGTGGTTTTATTAGTTTTTTAGTTCCACAATTAAGTTTAAATATTCGAAAAGCATATATGCCATCGTAAATTACTTTTTTTCTTTTTCTTTTTAATAATTAAATAGTTGTTCTATTTTAGTCATCGTCTTTGGGGAAAAATTATTTTTTTATCAGCTGTCGTAGCAATTTTAACAGGTTTATCTGAATATGGATATGGTTCATCATTTTTTACAGCCAATGATGCTGAACAAGACAGACGTTTAATTATGAATTTTTTTGGTGTATTTACAAGTTTATTTAGTTTATTTGTTATTTATTTACTTTCAAATTCTGATTATCAACGACCACCTGACGAACATATTGAAAAATAAGTGCAATCAATATACGAATGATTTCATTAATTATTAAACAATTTTTTTCCTACGTGTGATTTTCATATTTACCAATGTGTTCATTAAAAATGCCTTTTTATCAAATCGATGATGCCTATAATGTAAATATTTAAACTATTATTTCTTTAATCGTAGAATTGATATGGTTAATATCAAATCCGCACGTGAAAACTTTACATTGGATGAACTAAAGCCCTAATATATTTATTTTGCTTTTTCTACGTTTACACAAAAGTTTTCGCTGTATAAAATGAATTAAATCTATGTGACTATAATAAACTAATTTCAAAACAATAGGTTGCCGAAAAAAAACAAAGTAGCAATGAAATGATTCATTCTTATCTCTGAAAATGAAAGAAAAATTTTATATTAGTATTTAGATTTAAAAGAAAATAATCTTTTACCTTTTTTTATAATTATGATATTGCAAGTTTTTTCTTTTATTCTCACGTGTGATTAAATATTGTCGATGTGCAGTTGAGATTCATGTCTTTTTCTTTGTTCGAATAATATAAGATTTTAGATGCATTTTCATTTTATGTACAAGAAAATTGTTTCGAGAAGAAGATAAATACCAATTAATTAGTGAAATAGAAGGGTGAGTGTCGGTGTTCTCTTTCGATCAAGAGGGGACACCTTACACCCTCAAAACAAACAGAAAGTGCGAGTTATTATTAGTTTTTAAGAAGAAGAAATGGATTTTTGTCATAAGATAATAAAATGCAATGTCTTATTGAAGAAACTGTTGATCTATTCTTATTCGAACTCTATTCAATCCAGTTAACAATAAAATATTCGTCTCTATTGTATATTAGTTTATCACTAAAACTTAAACATCAAATAAATAAATTCTATTTCTTATCTCTATGTAACTTTTATCATCATTCTTTTGCATTTTCTTTCTTCTAATAAGTTATTTCATCACTATGAAAAATTGATAACATATCTCAACTATAGACTCATGTAAAACGAAAGAAGCAAAGCAACAACACATCTCATTCCACCAACATAAAATACCACACAAGGCCATTTCAATAGTTGTAATCAATGTCGCATACAATACCTCTTACTTTTCTTACATTACCGGTGGAACTTGTCTACCGAATTCTGGATCACCAGAGTGATTTGACGATGTTTTGCTCAATGCAGAATGTGTCTCAACGGTTCAATACAATCCTCGACAGTTATCATCGATATCAAGTAAATCTTTTTTAATCATGATTATCTATCTTTCTTTCACTTTCGAATTATTTTTCATTCTTCCACTCTATAAATATAAGAAGACATGAGTAAATAAAATGATGATGAAGCATACTAATTCGTCAAGTATTAATCTCTTCAAACAATTCATATACAGAACGAAATATAAAAACAATCATTGGTCTCAGTTCCTTTTCATTCAACCATGTATAATATTTTGAAGAAAAAGGAAAGGAGAAATTAGTTTTACCTGCATAGTTGAGCTTTTATTCACATGTCTTTTGCATTGAAAGCGACTTATTAACAGAGACTGAAGACTTTGCAAGAATTTTAGGTAAAAGAAATTACTCATCCTTGACCTGATTAGTTTTGCGGTCAGAAGAGATCTAAGAATATATTACTTCATATAGGCTATTCTTCGATTTAATCAGCGGCAGATGCTAGATAAAATAAATGCCACAACACTTAAATATTACACATATAGACTTGAAACATTTACACAGGTATGAACAGCAGTATTGCAATCGTAATAACATAGACTTATACCACCTTAAAAGACAAGGAATTGAAGAATTTCCAGAGATACTGATGAGATTAGAGAGTGAATGAGACCGAGAAGATGATAAGTGCAGGTTAGTAAGACTTACAACGAATCTAATGGGACTCTATAAGATCTGACCATCTGACAAAATCCGATCGGACACTGTGGGACGAAATTACATTCAATTCCGTCAGCTCAAACCTATTTGCTAGAAATTTTGTTAGTATCCTTTTTATCGGCACTAGATCTGCATTTTATAATACTGTTTGATTCTGCTAAGACATGGATTCGATCCTATAGAAATTGATCATCGGAATGAGCGATATGGGGAAGCAATAAACAATGTAAAAACAATTGAATTTCTCGATTTTCAGGAACTGCTACGTTTTCTAGAATTCATTAGATTTTGTCACAAATTCATAGTGTTTTCAGCAGATCTTTATTTTACTTATTTTCGTCTATAGAATTGTTTCTATTTTCTTAATTATTTAAATTCTGGATCACACCAAAATCACGATACTACCCAATAATCTTCAAAAGCAAGAATGAGGCAAACGTTTACAAATATGTGGCAAGACTTAGGGAAAAGCTACCTAACCCCAACTGCTCTTCTTATACCTTAACATTTCACTTAAACATTGTCTGACATGTTGCTAAATTCAGTATCTGCATTGACCTATTTTGCTTTTCAAAAACAATATAGAACACATCGTTGGCATATAATAAACTAGTAGCGTTTCTTATCTAACTCGGTCAATTGAATATTATTGAATATCCAGTAATATTTCATCATAAATTTCATCCGTAATGAAATGATTGATTCCGTTTCTTCCATAGTATTTTCCCTCATTGTTTTGACTCTCAGAGATAGAGTTTTGCGAAAAAAGTACAAACCGCACTCTCTCATCCTTACCCTTCTTCACGAGATTTTACTGAAGTCTCATAAAATATTAGGATAACTCTCCATCCCGTTTTATCTATACAATATACACATTTTTACTATTTCCTGTAGACACTTACCACATTAGACCTAAGTCACTATCAAATCGAAAATGTTGATGAACGACATCTTGCGAATGCATTACGAACTAATACGGTAACTTTCATGCTGCACCTCGTCTATCTCATATATCCATCTGCACTTTCTTATAAAGACACTTACCATATTAGATCTCGCCTACAATAATATCGGAGATATCGGAGC